AAAAAACACCTGAAGGACTCCAAGATGGTGAGAAACAAGATTCTCTGGTCTGATGAGACCAAGATAGAACTTTTTGGCCTTAATTCAATCAATTCATTAATGCAATCGAGGGAAGGATGAATGCGGCCAAGTACAGGGATATCCTGGACGAAAACCTTCTCCAGAGTGCTCAGGACCTCAGACTGGGCTGAAGGTTCACCTTCCAACAAGACAAGGACCCTAAGCACACAGCTAAAATAACGGAGTGGCTTCACAACAACTCCGTGACTGTTCTTGAATGGCCCAGCCAGAGCCCTGACTTAAAACCCATTGAGCATCTCTGGAGAGACCTGAAAATGGCTGTCCACCAACGTTTACCATCCAACCTGACAGAACTGGAGAGGATCTGCAAGGAGGAATGGCAGAGGATCCCCAAATGCAGGTGTGAAAAACTTGTTGCATCATTCCCAAAAAGACTCATGACTGTATTAGCTCAAAAGGGTGCTTCTACTAAATACTGAGCAAAGGGTAGGAGGACACTGCAGGACACTGTACACCAAAACAACCAGACACAAAGACAGTTTCTTCCCCTGGGACATCACTCTGATGAACATTTAACCCATGACTGTATAACAGAACAACCCTCAGTGCAATAACTTAAATATACTTTTGTATATATCTATCTTGAAAACTGCATCTAAACTATATGTATAAGTATTTTGCTTTTATTTTCCAAATGCACATTTTCTTTTTGTTCTCTCAGTCTTGTTTACTTGTATACTCGTTGCCTTAAGGAAGAACATTGCACATACACTTTGAGAGCCACTGTACCAGAGTCAAATTCCTCGTGTGATCAACACACCCGGTTAATAAAACTGATTCTGAATTATCTTACCGTTACTCTTTAACTAGACACCATGTGTCACAGGCCTAACCCTCTAACGTTAAACCTGACAGCTCCGGCTGACATATCTGTAACATTACACGATTTTATTACAGCTCACTCGCAGCATGATATTGCTGCCTCCAAGTTAAAACTCCTGACAGCTTGCAGTCCACGACACTGTAAACAATACCCACCATACAGAGTGGAGACTCTTACCCAAACCCACGTAAGCTAAGGATAGCTAGCTTGCTATCTTGAAAACCTGCACACAAACAAGTTACACGGAGACACCCTGATATCTAAATATAAAACGAACCACCGCTTTTAAATGCACAGTTGATATGTTATGCTTGTTTTACTTACAGTGTAGCTAAAGAGAGACAAAATAAGGTCACAAGTTTGCCACTTAACTAACAAATGTTAGCGTGAACCAAATGCTACAAGGCCGAAGCTAACTAACGTCTGCTTGCTAGCAAGACCAGCAAATTAAACAGACGTCGGCTGCTAAATTTAGCTACTTGGTACACAAAATATGAAGTCTATGATTGAGGAGTACTTACTTTTTATCGGGACAAATCCAGTCCCCATCGCTAACTCGAAAACTCTTCCCGGACATTTTAATACCTGTTAACACCGCCTGTCTTGCTAGTACAATTCTTCACTGTATTCATGCAGCAGCAGAACCTAGCTCCGAGTCCGCGCCACCTCTTGCTGCTGCCTTCGGGTACTTTTTGTAGCTCTTTAGGCTCAACTTTTTCTGCTCGCTATTTGGAATTGTGACACACGCTTACAAATTCTCTACACGGTGAAATGGTATTACATATATTTTGTGACACCAAAACCAATTTGTGCCGCAGTGTAAAAATACATTATTCATAACTTTAGCAAATAAGGGTATTTGTAACATAAAATAAAATCCGATTTTCCTGAAAGCACATGAATGCAACATTGACTACGGACGAACCTGCTTTTCTTGAAAACGTTAGTGTGTGGTAAACCCTCGTCATCACATATTTCAAAAAGCGGCATGGTTATTAAAATAGAGCGAATTGGGGTCCATAAAGGCTAGTATTTCGAAATTGAAAGCCCGCCATACAAAATTGACAAACTATGTTCAGCCTATACTTTCCAATATATAAAAGTAAGATAAAACGCCGAGGGAATAGATGTCCAGTATTTTAGCTCTAGTGTGAATAAAGGATCTATACTGATGACTCTACCCCCAGTGGCCCCGGAGAAACCCAGAATCTAAATTTAGCAGTTTAAAGAGCAGATCTAGGTGAATCGGACTTCTTGCAATGTCAATACTGCCCACTAGATGGCAGTTAATGCAAACATTGAACATTGAACATCGAATAATTTCCCTGAACGCTCTTGTTTTGGCCATGTGGTCTGCATATAGGTCACCTGTTCTTTGTCATCTTGTTCGTGATTGTGTAAGGTTTGAAATAAATACTCTTCTTAAGCAGGATAGATTGTGTGCGTGTGTGTTTACTTCTGAATGTATCTAATAAATATACAGTATATCTCTTTTTTGAATAAACCAGGAGTAAATATGATTACATTCTTAAATTTATTTTGCAGAATAGGCTCTTTTTTTCTGTCAATCAAATTCTCTGGACATGTGTATATACACATGAAATTTATATTTATAAGTGCTTTATTTTTATTTATTTATTACTTTCCTAATGCACATTCCTTTTACTTGTTTGCTCATTGTTTCTCTTTTCTTGTTCTCTCAGTCTTATCTTGTTTCATTGCTTTATGGAAGAACATTGTATTTGCACATCGAGAGCCACTGTACAGAAGTCAGATTGTGTGTTCAACATACCTAGCCAATAAATCTGATTTTGATTCTGATTCTGATATAGCATATGCCAAACTTTAAGAAAATTGTTTCAGCACCGTATAAGTGAGTTTTGCTTTTAAAGGAAATACTAGTGGTGAAGTATTGCACAAGCCAAGCACACTATACAAAAATAATCAAATTGTTTTCAAAGAAAAATGCTGATTCTCATGCATCCTCCAAAAGCGCTTTCATAGGTGTACTAAATGGATGTGTTATTAAATTTTATGGAACTTTTGGCAATAATTTTTATAGCTACCGAAGCCCTATAACACCTAAGTAACCCAACAAAATGGTCCTGTCTAAATTGAAGTGTTGGTGAAAAACCACTACCTGGAAGTGTTTGCTAATAGCACAGATATTAGTAGAAGCTGAATAAAGCTCAGACCTCTCACAGAGTAGCTTCAAATAAAAAAGGGAGAAACTCTTATAGTTGTTCAGTGGTCTGTGCTAAAATCACATGGGTAGATAAGATTAAGGCTCATGCAAATTAGGGGTAAAAATGGATCCATGTCTGTTCATCTGGATGAAGCGCCAGCTGTGAAATTCACATATGAACCATTGTGATTTACTTTAGAAGGCTCTAATTACCTGAAGTTGAAGGTCCTGAAGTTCTTTATTCATTTTTTGACATTTTGCAGGATTCTGTCAGTAAATAATAGGATATGTCAAAAAAAATTATAATCTTATCATCTTTTGCGACAGAATGATTTGACCTTTGCAAGAACAGTCCAATGACTATGATACAGAGCATTTTATAATTCCAGAGGAGATAATGTAACAGCTCTAAATATCATGCAGGATGTGGTGCACCATATGTTGATGACATGTAAATGCCATTAATGAGGGGGAAGAAAAGGCTTTAAGTTGCAAGATGCAGTTATTTCTCATGCGATAGTACTTAACAACTGCTACAATTTAAGTACACACTAGATCTTAGTCTGCCTTGGAATTGTCCTTGTCCACCCAATCTGCTCCTGGTCAAAGTCAAAGACCTTTGGCGGTTGCTGTCACAGCTGGTCCATGACCCTGAAGCCACACCAGTAGCCATTATACTGTTTTAACTGGAGTGTGCTACTTTCTTTTCATTGCTTTGTTTCTTTTGCTTTTGACAGGGGAGGAATGACATTGCTGAGGCAACCCAGCTTGTCTTGGACCAGATGGGTTTATTTAATTGAGTACACTTCAGATGAACTGAACAAGATTTTTTAATCACACATTGTTTTAATCATCATGTATCTGATAGGGAGACATGCACTTGATTTATGAGCCCCACGCACAGATTATTAGGATACAGGGCCAGAAAAGACAGTATCAGAGGCAGAAAGGCCTGTTTTGATTGAGCCTCTTTCTGTGGACCTTCATCAGTATAATTCATGTCATTCACCAACGCCAGAAGTTTGATATAGCATGAAAACATGAAGCCTCTATACTCACTATTTGTTATTAGTTCATGGCATCCTCTCTGTTCTGTATGAGTTCTGTTTACTTCATCCAAGTCATTTTTCATGATGGAAATCTTTTTTCTTCTCACTGATAGCACAGACGCCATCTCCACTCACAGGTTTCAACTCAGGGTGTACATTCTGCTTGTATTCAGCATTGCACAGAAAAAATGAAGGGAGATATGAAGCAAATGAAGCCATGAATAACTAATAACGAGACGTTGCAGTGCTGTAGTATGTTTGTTTGCAGCACAGAGTCGCATGAAAGATTCAGAGAGGAGTCAGGCAATTAAATAGCACTTAGGTAAACAACGCCCAATTACATTAAAGTGGCTTTCTTGACGGTAATGCTTTCTTAACTTTAGTGTGTCCTTTTCTGGCTAATGTACAGCCCACCATCTGATTATGTACTGGGTCAATAACACTTCTAAGAGAGATTTTTCATGGGTGTCAATGAGGCTTTGGCTGACACTGTTTTCTAGCCCAGTGGCTGGTAACGGATGAAGGTTCATGCACAAGCAAAGTCTCTGACATGGAAAGGCAGCCATGTATGTTGGTTTGGAGAAACCTGCTGCAAGCCACCGGGGCTTTGACAGATGGCTAGGAGCTGCTCCAGAGAAAGGGAGCAGTGTGAGGGTGACGTGCTGGAGGCTGGTGGACGTTAGCATGGTCCACCCACAGCTCGTATCTCAAAATCATAATTTCTTTCATCTATGATCCCATTTGCTAAACAAAGGTCAGCAGTGGCTGTTTGTTAACTGGATCTTATTTGACGTTCTGCCCTTTATGAGGCATGTTTGTATGTATTTGCTTCTACACATTTATCAGAGACAAGGCAAGGCAAATGTATTTGTATAGCATATTTTCAAAATAAATACATCAGAATACAGACAGGTTTAATAAAAGAGATTAATTTAAAAGCAGTGTGGAAAATCATTCTTTACCATTGAATCTAAGCTCCTAGGGGAGCTGGTTTCTGCAGCGGGCAGCATAATGACTACATTTCATTTCACCATATTTAGGTTGAACTCTGGGAACCACTAGCTGACCAGTCCCTGCAGATCTGAGACACCTACCAGGCTTGAACCCAGCAGACATATCCCTAATATATTTTGCACTCAGGCCATTGAGAGACATGTAGATAATAAATTCAAATCTATATTTAAATGGAAGCCAGTGCAAGAATCTAAGGATTGGAGTGATGTGTTTTCTCTTCAGAGGACAGTCTAACACAGCCAGGGGGTGGCCCTGTATTCACATATTAGCGGTGGGAGGCGAACTATAAGGTGCCAGCGAACCACATCAGGATTATATAAGGCAGACTACTGCACAGTGAAACAGCTCGTTCTGGGAGACGCGCCACTGCATTGTACCCCATCTCCTGTTCTTTCATCCACTCCTTATCACTAAAGCACATTCATTCTGGGGGCCAGAGAACATGCATTTCACAATCTAGTGTCACCACATCTTGTAAAAGCAATATGTGTAAAATCTGAAAATAATAAATCTACTGTTAAGTAGTAATAAAATGCAAGATGGAGCGTGTTCCACTGCATCATCAGTTTTGATTGTGCAACTTTATGTCACATACTCATCTACTGCTGCTCATGAACCCATTTATATTGATCTATCTATTTCCAATTTAATCTTTATCTACAGTCACTACAAAGATATTTCATATGGGTTGAATTTTGGTAATGATCCCCTATGAAGAAGAAAAATAAAATCGTGTTCTTTAACAGAAGCCTATTGTTGAGCTGAGACAACCCTAACACTTTGAGCTTCAAAGTGGTCCTGAGCATTCCTTACTGAAAATATCAGTGTGTCAAATCCAGTAGATCTTGACAGGCCAGAGAATTGGAGGAGTAATGCTGGTACCAAGTCTGAGACCAAACATTGTTTTTAAATGGAATCAGAGAATTCCACAGAAAAAGAGTTTACAGGGAGAGAGGCGATCTCACTTGATGATGCCCGCATGTCACTACAAAATGCCATATCTGCCCCTGCTTCCATTAAGGCGAGGCCAGCGGGATGTTCTCCATTGTCATTTCTCAAATAGTTTTGTCAGGTTTGTCGTGCAGAGTCTTATTTAATTGCTGCGCTTCACTTTTGGGGACCACTTGTAAAGGAAAGAAATCAATGTTCCTTCTGCTCTAACCCCAGGCAGAATAAAGAGAGTATCACTCACCTTGTAGCCCTCTGTGTCTCTGTGACTAAAACATGAATTGGAAAATCTATAAAATGCTGAATTAAACAAAATTCTAGTTTAATTGCAAAATATCTTTTAATACTTTAATTAAAGCTTAATTGAGTATAAATAAGCTATTGTAACATGCATATTTGTTCTGTGCCAAAGCTGTTTACATTAATTTGATAATAATCGAACACTAAAGATGCTTCAAACTGAATCAGCCTTTAATTAATTGTGAAGCGTAATTCATAAAACATTTTCACAATTTTGAACTGCTTGATATTTTTGATTATATGTCAAACACAGCACATGGTGCTCTGTTTTATTGGA